ATATATATATGGGCAAGTTTGTATTAGTGCATTTTTTATCATAGTTTAATATTAAAATTAAACTTAGTGTAATCTCACCATTTTTGATGTTTTAATAGACTTTATGTTTAAAATTTAGATTAGCTGCACAACCTGATCCACATCAATATCAAGCTCTGTACAAAATTAAAGGCTTATCACTTGGAGTAACAAACTTCAAAGTTGGCACAAAAGCTAGCGTTTTCAAAGAACAGTATGCTAGTGAATCATACCCTATTCAGGTTTGTAGTACAAACTACTTTGGTTAAATCTTTTATGCAACGCCTTTGAATCTTTGATACTTTTTAGGTTTGGATTCAGGCATAAATTGATGTTTTAATCTAAACATAATGTTGTACTTAATTCAATTATTGCTATTTGTTTGATGAATTAAATTAAATCTATTTGTATAATGAATTTGATATTGTTAATGTGATGAATTCAATGATGAATGAATTATATTTGTTTCATTATTTAGATTAATACTATTTAGTGGAATTTAGTTTATTGGAAATAATTTGTGCACTTAAACCCCTTTTAAAATTATATTACGAAAAAAAAAATTTGTATTAAAATTTGGTATTCCAAAAAATGACACCAAATGTAAAAGAAAGTTTTGATATCAAATAAATAAAAATGAAAAGTTAAGGTGCTTTATTCCAACATGCTTTTATTTTTTAGCTCTCAAAGGATTCTTAAATTATGCCCACATTTTTTTTTCCTTGTATGAAGAAAGGGGGGGGAATAAATAAATTGCATCAAATGTAAAGTTCCAAAGCAAAGTGGAAATTTTCTGATTCATGTACTCAAAATTTTGATCATTATTTAAATAATATTGGAATTATCTAAAATATCAATGTAAAGCAACTAACTTATAATTTTGATGATTTGATCTTGGAATATTTTGAAAATATTTTTTATAAATGACATATACATATATTATGATATAGCTGCTGTTTTATAAAAATTTTTTTGATTTAATGTGAATTGTTATAATTGACATAAGATTGAAGTCTTCTTTTGCTTTGTTGCAGGTATTTTTACCTTTGAAGGTTGACCCAGATCGAATTGTCTTAATAGTTGGTGCAACTTTTCAAGTAAGTTAATGAAGCAGACTTAAATTTTCTTATTTTATTTTACTGTTTTAGTTTAAGAAAATTTTATTTGATTTTGTTTATTTCACTAGTATTTTTAAGTGGCAGAATTTTCTTTTTTTTATCATCAGATTTTTCTGAGTTCTTACAGACTTAAACTTTTCATCATTAGTTGTTTTTGTCTTAACATATTGATTCCATTACCAATTGTGTGATAACAGAGAACTGAATCTCCTATCTGTATGCCTGAACTTATGTCTCATTTACTTATTGCTGTTATAGATCTGTTTTACCATTGCCATTGTCTTGCCATTTTTGAACCTTCTTATCAGTGTGACTTTGCTAGATTTTAATTTTCTGTTAAAAGTTTCAGCTTTGTTTGAAACCAAGTTTTCATCCAATTTCACATAACTACCAAACCTCTGATGTCAGTACTTTCTAATATCATAGTTTTTATAATATTTTTTTTTAAACCTTATTCTTAATCAGACACCTGTTTTGAACATGAAAAGCTCATGAGTTTTTCCAGACATAAACTTTCTTCGATTTGAACTATATTACATAAATCTTTCCTTCATGTTTTATCTATATAAAGTAATATTTATGAGCACTTGATTCATTTTTAAATATCTCAATCTCTTGAGTTTTGCAAGGTTTCTCTTTTTCCTTTGGTAAAAAATTTATAAACTATGTTTTAGAAGATTTCCAATATAATTGTATGATCAACTGCTTAGTGTCTGATGTTCGTACTTGTGCCAGAAATGTGGCATTTCTGTATATATACTGAATAAAGTAATTTTTGAATAGGAAAAAGTTTTGTTTTTCATAAAAACAAAACTGTTATAGTTATCAGTATCTTAAAACATCCCAGCAATTTCACATTAGCATTTCCCCCCCGTTAAACTTGTTATTTACCTGTTAAATTTATCATCATATCTTCTTATCTTAAGATCACCTAAGTAACAATATTACTCATGTTCAAGTTTTAATTTTTGTTGACTATTTTATAGGTATTATGTTCTGGAGGTCCTCATCCACAAATGAATATAGAATTCATCATTGACAATAAGGATATTGCTGTTGTCTCAGAAGCTGGTATTGTGGAAGCCAAAAAAGTGGGAGAAACAACTTTGATAGCAAAATCGTATGGTCAAGATAAGAAAGGTGAAACAATTGTGTTTTCTGAGGTAAGTACTCCATTTAATTATGGTTTGAAAATAATCTTATGAATTTATAAATGTATGAAGCATTAAATTTATGACTGTTTCTTTATTTAGGATAAAATAATTGTGACATGTGTTTCACTAAAAGAAGTAAAGATTCATGCACCATTATCAAGAATGGTTGCTGGAACGGAGGTAAATTTTTCTTTCTTAACAAGTGTTCTGTTTCCCTAAATCCCAGGCGTCGAATGTCTGCTACTTTATAAGTTAATTTCAACAGTTTGATCATTGCATATTTCTGAACTTCTATTATAAACGTTGCCTGAATTGGTTTAGTATAAGGACATCTTTATTTGCAATAATATTTATGATCTAGTTTGTATTTTTACTGCATAAATCAGTTGATGCTTATCGTTCTTTTTTCTAGTCAATTCAATAAGTGCTTCATAAACTCGGAAAACTTATTTCTTTTTAAGCATTAAGTTTTATTAAAGTGCGACTTGTACATAGTTTTCACAATGCCAATTTAAAAATTTGTTATTTGTTAATTTTATATTGGAATTCATGTGATAATATTTTGGCTAAATAATTGTAAAAAAGTTTTGTTTTATCTGAAAATCTCATCTAATTTGAGAAGAGTAAATGATTTTTTCAGTTGCATTTAAGTTATTTAATATTTTTGATAAATTATACATTGGGTTATATAAGTTAATTTATATTTTACTTTCCTAAAAAAAGTGATTTTGAAAATGTATTTTTACTTTACATGAATTTTTTCAAAAATTTAGTTTATTTTTAATTCCAATGGATAATATATTTTTTTTCTTTGTGTGTTATTTCATGATATATAAAGATTGCTTTCATATAATTTAATATTTTATTCAATACTATTGAGAAATAATTGCGTTTGTTTTAATAACTTAAATTTTTTGTTCTCCTTTTTAAAAAAAATTGGGCGATTTTGAAAGTGTGTTTAATTTAATGAATTTTTTATTATTATAATTAATTTAATTTAATCACAACTTTTACCACCAAATCATATTATTTTTTTTTACTATATGTATCATTTTTAAATTATGTAAAGATTTGTAGGATAGGATTATTTAAATGTTTTTATACCAAACAGCCTGTTCAAATCAAAGGGCGTTCAAATCAAACGACAGACATATTCTGATTTCTTTGCATTATACTTTTTATATATTAAGCTATTTATTGAAAATATCTGTAAAATAATAGATAAAAAAGAAAAATAACTTATTTTTCATACATATATGCCATTAATATTTTTTTAAAATTTAAAATAATAATTTAAAGCAAACTATCATTAAATAATATTATATTTTTAAAATATTTCACAAAGTGAGAAACTCAATTTTCTAATACACCTTTATTAGCTTTTTGTTTATTAAAAAATATGAACTAAAATATCTGTTCATTATTATTTGCAGATGCCTATTTATGCAACTGGTCTTACAGAACATTTAAACCCATTTGCTTTTGGTAATGCTGTACCTCCTGCTTATTTTAAATGGACTGTCAGTAATGATAAAGTTGCCTCCATATTCAATATGTATAATCCTGTAAGTATAAAGTATAATGAAATGTAGTATACTGAACTTTATTGACATTGTTTTCACTTTAGTTTACTTAGCTCAAAGTATACTCTATCTCTTTGGATAATATAATTTTTTTCAAGGCTATTAATGCCATTGTATTCTGAGAAAGCTCTTAAAACAATGTTTAGGTCTGAAAACTAACTTCATAATGAAAATGATATCAAAATTCGATTTCTATACTTTATGCATTATATGCTCAAAGCAAAATGTATCTTTTCTATCTTTTATAATCTTAAAATTAATTATCAATCTATGATATTGTTGTAAGTGTAATTTTTTTTCCATTCAACTTTACCTTTAAAATCACAGCGAATGTTTTGTGTTTTAGAATTAGAATTACAAAATATTGTTTTTGAGAATATCTTGATTACTTTGAAACATTTAATGATCTATTCAAAATAATTCTGTTGTAATAAAAACTTTACCACAATATCTATTATTGAATGGAACTGAGCCTTTTAAATAAGCGACCTTGAGAATATTTAAACAGTCTGTAAAAAAAGAAGAAAAAAAAATTTTTGATCTTTGAAAAAGCTGTTGCCAGAAATGCTGTATTCTAATTCTTTCTAATTTTCATGGTGATTTGTTTCTGAGTTGTAGATTTTAAAATGTTTTTTTTCTTTCTTGCCACTGATATTATAAACTGCATGCAATTTACTTTTTATGCTAAAAGAAAAAATTGAGTTGATTATGCTAGTTTCTTTTTTTGTGTGTTGTTGTTGCTAGGTTAAATTTCTATTTAAAAATAAATGAATTTGCTTCCTCTAGGTTGGTCTTCAAGAATCACCTGAAAATAATTTCCGTGTTAATCTGCATGCACACCAAGATGGTTTAGTTACAGTACACGTGGAGGTCACTATTCCTAAAGAAAGATCTCCTTCATTTTTTGGTGGTCCTCAAGTTCTAAGTAGTGAAATACAAATTCAAGTAATTTTTTTTATTTTCATTATGTTTTTCTCTGTAATAATATATTTATGTAATTTGCAGTGACAGATTAATCATATGCTTAAAGGAAAAGAAATACATATTTGTAATCAATAACATTCTTATATGTTTATTTTTAAATTGTTAAATATTTTCTTGTAAACTTTCAAGGAAAAATTAAATACATAAATTCAACTTTGTCACAAGAGAAGAATATATCCATGATATGTTAAGTATCAACCTTAGCTTAATTTAATATCAATGAAAGCAGGCAACACATTTTTACAAATAGAATTTATTTACAAAAATTTGGTTAAATTTAACAATTTCTTGTATGTTTTTTCAATCGATAATTTTCTACCAATTAAGAATATCTAGAATGTATGGGAGAATATGTATAAATCAGGGATGAGATTTTTCCGCTTTTTAGCGGATTTCCGCTTTTTCACTTTTATCTCTTAAATTTCAGTTTTTTTTAATCAAAAATTCAGATTTTTCTAAAAATTTCCCTTTTTTTTTTATAAGTATTCCGCTTTTTCAGAAAATTCATCGATTTTCAAAAAGAAACAGAAAATTCACACTACATAGCTACCAATCCTTTCTCATTGTTACTTATTATAGCTATTTTCTCCCCTTTTACACGCAGCAGATAAGATTTTCCGAATTTTTACCCGCCCTCCAGATAGATCCGATTTTTGTAGTTCAAACGACGCTGCTTCTGACAAGCCTTTTAGAGGTCCCAAGCCTGGAATCTGACAGCCGAGATTCTCGCAGAATATCATATTTGTCATGTCAACAATAAAAGAGAAACGAAGTTTCTGAATAAATGAGTTTATTTAAAAACATTAGTAATAAAGAATGTCACACACAGAGTGACGAAAAGAAAGAATACAAAATGATCTGCTTCAACAGAAGCTTAAATACAGATAGCAGGTGACGTCATGATCCACGCAAGAACGACCAACAGCAAATGAAAATAAACTGGCCGATCCCCGCAGACCATGACGTCACCGACGCAAGTTGAATGCATGAGATCGACGACGGAAAATCGAACCTCATACCTTTTAACTTCTATTATTTGTCTAACATGCGGCCCCCTCTCATGCCTTCAACTTTTACAAAAAAACACACATATACAGTTTATCAAAATCCTCAATAAACTAAAGAAATATTTAATTTCCTTAAACTAATACTTAAGCTGTTTCAGTCCTGAAACCACCCAAAAGATTAAACTTTCACAAATACTTTTGAACAGAAATTTTCCACTTCTAACTTGGTTAAAGGTTTTGTAAAAATGTCCGCTAAGTTAAATTTACTCCTAACGTGCTTAACAGCAAAAAATTTATCATAAATTAAATTTCTTAAAAAATGATACCTTACGTCGATGTGTTTCGTTCGACTATTTTCAATAGGTGAATGAGAAAAATCAATTGC